GCGCTCTCGGGGCCGTTGTCGGAACCCTTCTGGGCCGTCTTGGACGTCAGTTGGCCCGTCTTGGGGCCTTCGAGGGCTGTGTAGGAACCCTCTTGGAAACGTCTTGGGCCGTCTGGGAGCGGGTTTGGGGGATTCCGGGGCCGTCCAGGAGCGGGGAAGACCCCCAAAGGCGCACGTGTGGAAACAAATACGTTTTACGAAGGAAACGGGCGATTTGTTGCGTCTAGAGGGCCTTTGGGGGGGAATCTTGGATGCCTGTGGGGGCGTCTTGGGAGGCCTCTTGAGCCGTCAAGAGGCTGTCGTCGATGTTTCTGATCGCTCTTGGACCGTCTGGGACCATGTGGAGCTTTGTGGAGGCAGCTCGGAGCGCTTCTGGAGCGTTCATGGGGCCGTTTTCGGACCCCACTTGGGCCGTTTTGGACGCCTGTTGGCCCATCTTGGGCCCTCCAGGGGTCTGTGGGGGACCCTCTGCGAGGCTTCTGGGGCCGTCTGGGAGCGGGTTTGGGACCCTCTTGGGGCGTCGGGGAGCATCGGAAGGGTCCAAAGTGGAATTATTGAAAAATGTACATTTCACGATGGAAATGGCAAAATTTTGGCTTCTAGGGACCCTTGTGGAACGCATCTGGGAGGCCCTCGGGGGGGCTCGTGGGGACCTCTTCTGCCGTCGAGGACGCCTCGTGGGCCGTCTTCGGGCCAACTTGGGCGTCTTGGAGCGCTCGTTGGGCGTCCCAAACCCATTTCGAGGCCACCAGACGCGTCCCGACACGATTTTCATGTGTTTTTGCACGATTTTTCGGGAGCGGATGAGACTTCCGGGGCGTTTGGTCCCGCCCGGTCCGCCCGGGGCCGTCCGGCCGGACAACCCCCCCCCCCCTCCAAATGGACCGGACCGGGTTCCCGGGGGAGGGGTTTGGGGAGGGGGAACATCTCACACGCCGATGAACCCCAAGGGGTCGGCGGATTTCTACGATTCGATTCGATTCGATTCCGATGGATTCCGATTCCGATTCGATTCGATTTCGGATTCCGATTTGGGATCCGTTTCCCGATGGATGCTTACTGGCCTGCTGATGTCTGCCGGTCCGATGTTTACCGACTCGGCTGCGGATTTCCGTCGATCTGATTCGTGCCGATCGCCGATCCAACTTGTCGATTCGATTCTGGGTTCTCCTGCCACCGACGGGGATGCGTGATAAGTCCAACAAAAACTCTCCTCCTGGAGCTCCAAAATAAGACGCAGGCCCTATCTGGCAGGGATCAGGGCATGACAGGGTTGGCGCTTACCTGAGTCCTTCACGCAGCGAGTTTGGATAGAGTCCGCCATGAAGCTGTTGCTGAGGTTGGCCGTATTAACATACGAGTGGGCAGCATCACTCGAAGAGTGAATGGGCACACGAGGAAACTACGATGTACAGCTGGCAGCTATGGCTTGACAGCCAGCCCCAGCTACTCGGCACGCTAGCCCAGCAGTGCGGACACTCGTCAGGCAACAAGTGAGCCCGTCCTCGGCCGCGGTCCGTGAGCTGGCCGACCAGAGAGTTGCGGGCGATGCGCACCCGGCAACCATTGAGGCTCTGCCTAAGTTGGCGTCGGGGAAATTTGATGCCGCTGCGTCGCGGAAACCTGATGCTGTTGCGCAGGGGGGGCCTGATGCTCTTGCGGCGGGGACACCTGACGCTCATCATGCCGGAGCTCCTCAAGAGAGGGAAGTAACGAGTGTTCCACCACCGCCGCGGCCGCATCTTGAAGGGAAGCCGCCATTGCAAGCGCGCGAGCCACCGAACACGCCAAACAGGCCAGAGCGCGACAAATGTGTCATGCAAGAGTTGTGGGCTCAGTCCCCAGAGGCTTAGCGCAACGCACCAGATGCTCCGCCGGCGTCCGAGATCGCAAGGGCTGGTGCCAGCGCGGGCTGAGGAGTCCGTTAAGATGCGAATGATTCAAATTAAGAAGAGGCGGAACGCCTCAAGTTGATATAGTTTCCCTCCGCCCCCGTCTTCCAAAAAAATGTAAGCAGGGCTTTTACGAATAGTTACGCTCGGCACCCGGTAGACCTGAAGTAGCATTCAGGTGGCTTCGCGAGGTCGAGGGCGAGGGTGGTAAGTGCGAGAAGCTCGCTCGATACGCTCGACGCCAAGGTCGCGTCAGCCATCAGCGAGTCCTCAGAAATAATGACCTTAAACGACGGGCGAATACCCGCGAGGAGGAAGCCAAAGCCTTAAACTGTCTTTTAAAGGACGGTATATACTCTACCTGATTATGGACTGGCACCAGCTCATGGAAGGCGATGGATGCACATTTGATTTCTCTCCCCTGAATGCTGTCAAGATGACCGACAACAATGTGAGTAAATTATTTGAAGAATGGGGCTGCACCACCTTTGCCATGAAATCGATTCCCACCGACAACATCCTCGAAGCCCTGTTACGGCCGCAAGTCGAACGCCATCAAAAACATGGAGACCGATGTGGGCGCGCATCACAGGATGGAACGGGTCGGC